ACCATGACATCTTTAAACCAAATCCATGATAATGACAGTGGTCTTCAGGACCCTCTCTTCCAAACTGTAACAAAAATTTAAGCGAGGGGAGGAAGAGAGGTGGAGAGGCAATACAGTATTCTCATGGTAATGTGCTTCTCAATTTTATCAAGTATTTAATCAACAAGCAAAGGAAAAGAACAACCCATCAAAGAATGTGTTACCTTTGGTAGGGGAAAAAAACAACACAGAACAAAAGAGTGACATACCCTTCACCATCACTGCTCAGACAGACAGTGATTGTTGCAATGTCGTGGTGAGGCATGCTGGGTCCAGAAAGGGTATAAATACAATCACGAGGTTTAAAGGATGCTCATTCCCTTCCAATAGGTAATGTTCTGAACAACCAGACCCTTAGAATTGCTCCTAAAAGGCTGTATTTGTAGACATTCAAAATACAGATAAAATATTTTTTCTCTTGGAGAGAGAAAAAAAAAAGAGAGAAAAGACCTAAAGGTCTTCATTTGCAGTTAAGTCCTCAAACAGGTCAGATGTACCCGTGATTTCAGGACTCTGAACAACGTGATAACGGTGTGCGTTAACTCCTGGTGGGGGAAAAAAGCTAGATTGCTAAGAAATATTTGGGTTGAAGGACTCTGTTCTGCATGAGTATAGGAAGATTTGGTTTCCAGGTTTCTTTTTCAAGGTCGGTCCAATGTTTCTCCTGGGAGAAGTCAGTTCTGGAATTATGAAAACATTTTCTTCTCGAGGTAGCTCCCTGCTCCCACCCACTCCCGGTGGATTAATACTATTCAGAGACCCCGTCAGATAGCTAGTGTGAGGTAGATGACTTTTTGCCAGAAGTGAGGTAGAAACGACACAAGAGCAGACGGTGTGGAGTGGAGCGGGTGGGTGTGTGTGTTTCTGTGTCTGTCTGTGTTTTATGCCCCGGCCTGCAAACAGCCGGAGAAGATGGGGAGGGCCAGGTTCTGCGATTTCACCACATGAAAGTATTAAGACTTTTTATACAGCCCCAGACTGTTGGAAACTCAGTAAGAGTGATGTCTTAAATAAATACTTTTTGGCACCATCGGATTTTTTTTTTTTTTTAACAGAAACAGAACAAGACAAAGCCAGCCTATAACTTTGGCATATCTTTCGCTATCTACCAGGACACAGCAGTCTTAAGATCTTCAGAGAGGAAGACAACACACAGAAGACAGTAAGACTTCCCTCCTCTAACCATTAAGCTTTGGCTTAACTAGAATAAAGCAGATGGAGCCAATCTCACGGTCTTCTCTTACAACCGCATTTCAAAGTGCCTTCAATTCTGGCAACTTGTTTTTGGCCCAGCGTGTAATTTAGATTCTGTTTATGGTACCCTAGTCTTGTGATTCCCCAAATAAGTTAGACTTAAAAGGGTTCTGTCAGTCAAGGAGTCAGTGGACTTGGGGTCCTGTCTGGGCCACTGGGCTCCAGCCAACTCGAGTGCCAACTGCCAGCCACCAGACAGCACAGGCTGAGATAGTACTGCTTCTTGTGACCAAATTCACACAGGAATTACTGGGTTGGCCAATAAGTTCGTTTGGGTTTTTCCATCACACCTTATGGAAAAACCCCAGCAAACTTTCTGGCCAACCCAGTATTCAAAAAAAAAAACAAAAAACAAAAAACAAAAAACAAAAAAAAAACCCCACAAAACAAACCCAAACACCAGTAATACTTCTGAAATGCCAAGTCGGTGTCAACCAAAAGTGGTTTGCCTCTGTGGGTTGTTTAGATTTCCTTTAGCCATTGCAATATTTAAACCTGTACATCTAAATCCAGTTGGCATCTCAAACCATATACTGACCTTACACCCCACCCCACCCCCTGACCAGATCAGACACACACGGGGATTACTGTCTCAGCATCATATTCCTCAACAGAAACATTTTATCCTTCCCCCTCACAGCACCCAGGAACCCTATCTTTACACCACGCTAAGGACTCCTGCTTGGACCCAATTCCTGCTACCCCAGCGTCACCTCCTAAGGGGCAGGAGACCTGCACTGGTAAATGCTTATTGTGAAGAGACTCACTCATTCTAGGGAGGTCCCAAGGCTAGCCTTTCTCCTGACTCTTTGATCCGGAGCATTCCACACCGCGGGAGAAGCACACTCCGAGTGCTTTGCACCAATCCCTTGTGGGTCAGGACTCAAGCGGGAGCAGCCACAGACGGCAGTGTTTCACAAACAAAAGCTCCCCAAGTGTGACATGTTTCTTGAATGGCGGTGATGCACAATCCTAGGCGCAGACAAGGTAAGGAGATGTATCTTTTACAAAGAGTGAAGAGGCTGGGTCACCCCCGCTCCATGCTCGCTTCGGGGAGGGGGCCTGTTTGCTTTAAGCCTGCACACTGGACAGTCTATTAATGAAGCCCTGGTCATTTCAGCCGTGTGGAAACCCTGGATTCACAACCAGATCCACAGACAAACTTTAGAGAAGCAGCGTGAGTTACTGCCACTCACCAAGTACATTTCTCACTCAGGTCCCAGTATTTCCCCACAAATGGGGAAACTGGGAAGAAAAGGTGACAGGGAAGATGATGAAACCAAAGATAGACTAACCAAAGGTAGTCACTATCTCAAACAACTCAGCCTAACCATAATCACGACCTGAGTTTCAGAGAACATCTAAAAGAATTTTCAAGATCCACTCCCCCCCATAACGAAAAAAAAAAAGCATTTAAAATCGGTTGTCTTTGGTGATTATTTGGGGGAGCAGGAGGACCGAGAAGGAGAATCAGCACCAAGTTATTCCAAAAAAAAAACAATAAAAATGCTTTATTACATGTGCTCTTTACCAAAGAACTGAGAAGTTAGGGACAACATAAAAGACAAATGAATAGGAATTAGAGGGGAATTCACTATTAGGGAATCACTATTAAATTCTTCAATAAAAGAAGAGGCGCTTTTACTGAACAAAGTCTCCTAACACCTCCCTACCCAGCCACACTGCATCTGGGTGCCAGCAGTTTGAAGCTACTTTCCAGTTAGGGGATCTTTTATTGCATGTGGTTCTCCTTAGGGGAACGAGGATTCCCCCATTTTGGTCACTTAGAAACCTCACAACTAAAGCAATGGGAAGAGATGGGGGACCACAACATGGTAAATGTCCTAAAAAGCTGGATGGGAAAAGCAATTTGATTGGCTGGCTACACTATTTCCCATCATCTCCTTTTCTTTGGGAACAACAAGAGTTGTTCCGTTTGTTAGTTTATTCTGTTCGTTAAAAACACTAGCCATACTGCAAGAGGAATTTCTTTTCAATACAGGGCCAGACACTGATCTGTGAGGGGACAGGTTCTAGACGGCACTGCCGTCCAGGCACACCTCTTTCTGGTGCCCCTCTGGAATTTGGTTCTCATTTTAGTATTTCCAAGACGGCCAAGACTCAGAAGCACAAGGCTCTGCACCCAAGTCCAGCTTCTGACAAACCCGCCCTGTAAAGTGACAGATGCCATCTCATGGTTCCGCAGCTGGGGAGACTGGCTTCATACATCTTCATTCTTTGGTTGAACAAGAGGTATTCTGTCCTATACGATTTCCAGGTTGGGGCGATTTTGGCTTACAAAACCCTTTACATTCAAAGGCCTTTGCGGGGAAAACAAACCACGCTCCGTGGCTCAGGAGCAGACTGCTCTGTGAAGCTGAGCTGAGGACAGGGTGTCGGAGTGGGCTGTTCCTACTTGACTGGCAATCATTCCATCTCCCTGAACTTCCAAAGCAGGAAAAAATTGTGCTTTTAAAACAAAAGTTCATTCCTTTGCTTACTCATCTTAGGAGAACGCCTAGTATTAAGAGAACCACAATCAACCACAGTCTGGGGGTCCCTTGCCTGGGTCTCATGCTCTCTCCTGACTCACCACATGCGCGCCCACCCACTCACATCCACACTCCAGTCCACGCCTGAAAATCCTCACTCTGAGTAGGAGGTGACTTTTCCTCTTCCTTCTAACGAGTTCTTTATAACCAACAGCAAACTAAAAATCACTTAACTTCTGAGAATACTTTTAATCAAAAAGCCTGGAACTACATCTATTTATCAGAAACCAAAGTGTGAGAAAAAAGTTCTTTGGGAGGTGGCATAGCATTTTCTATTTTGCTATACTGGTGTAAGGTGGTTTCACTCTTTCTCACACACACACACATACACACATCCCCTCCCTCAGAAGAAATAAAGATTGCATACCCTAAAATAGGAATGGTCTGCTTTTCTCGGCTAGCAAGCCACAGCCACATCTTCTAGGAGCAAGAAAAGATACTGATGTTGAACAGGATGAGAAACACACTGAGGTATAAAAGGAGAACGCAGGAAAGTTCTCTGTTGCAGCATTAAAAAACAGAAAGAAAGAAAAAATAAAGAAGAAAAAAAGATTTTTTCCCATAAAGATCAAGATCACACAACACAACCTAACCCCATAAACACAGTATTCTTAAGAACACAAATACTCTACAATTAAGCATCTTAAATCCTATTTTCCCATGTTTTATAGTTTTTTTTTTCTTTTTACTTAGTAGTTTTCTCATGTTTCCTTGGCTCAAATCTACAGAATGCAACCCACCGCACACATCCAGTGCCCGCCCCCCCAGCCACAGAGATGCTAGGCTTGTGCGTGTCACACCCCACGGAGCGGGAGGGAAGCCCCCACTGGGCGAGGGTGGGAGGAGGCAGAGGGCCTGTCGGAGAAGGAAATGTAAAAGGGTTCTGAGGTAGATAGAGATATCACTTCACAGGCTCAATCCCTGCAGAAAAGATAAGTACATTCATCTGTAAAAAAATAAAGATGAGGTAGGACGTAAGCAATGTTGTACTTTTCTTGTTGTCTTTCAAACAAAAGCAAAAAAAAAAAAAAAAATTTTTTTTTTTTTTTTCCCTGAGACAGTTTCCTCTTTGAAATTCAAAAGGGGGGGAAGAAGAGACAGGAGAGAAGAGATGGATACACGCGCACCCCAAACACGGAAGCCCAGGAAACGTGATTAGAAGATAAGGATTCGATTGTTGCCGAAGTCCACCACGACGATCATCCCGTCTGGCGTGACCGCGATGCCAGAGGGCCGGTCCATCTGCCCGAAGCCGCTGCCCTGGGCGCCGAACTTGCACAGGAAGCTGCCGTTGGACTCAAACATCTGCACCCGGTGGTTCCTGGAGTCGGCCACGATGATGCGCCCCTCCTGGTCCACGGCCACACCCTGCGGCCGCAGGAACTGCCCGTTGCCCGTGCCCTCGGAGCCCAGGAAGCGGGCCGACTGGCAGTCGGGGTGGATGACCAGGAGCCGGTGGTTGTTGAAGTCGGTGACCACCAAGTGGCCCTCGTGGTTGAAAGCCACGCCCCGCGGGGAGTCAAAGTGCTTCCAGAGAGCCCCCTCGAAGCCGTACTTATTCAGGAAGACCCCGTCGGGCCCGAACAGCTGGATGCGGTGGTTCCGCGTGTCTGAGACCAAGATCTTGCCCTCGGAATTCACCGCCACATCCCAGGGGTAGTTGAACTGCCCGTTTTTGGTGCCCTTCTCCCCGAACTTGAGGAGGAACTGGCCCTCGAAGGTGAAGACCTGGATGCGATGATTGTCCTTGTCGGCCACCACGATCCTGCGGGAGGCATCGCAGGCCACCCCGGCAGGCCGGTCGAACTGCCCCGGCCGGGAGCCCAGCGTGCCGAACTTGTGGTGGAAGGCGCCGCACGGCTTGAACACCTGGATGCGGTTGTTGCTGCGGTCGGCCACCACGATGTAGCCCTCTTTGTCCACGCTCACGCCCCACGGGCGGCAGAGCTTGCCGTCGCTGTCGCCCTCGCTGCCGAAGCTCAGGCCGGGGAGCCCGATGCCCACGTAGCTGCGGCCGGACTTGACCACCACCTTGAAGGGGCTGTTCTCGATGTGCTGGTTGCACAGCGTGACCGATACCAAGTGCTCCCCCTCCAGCTGCGGCCGGTAGCTCACCACGTATGTCCCGTTCTGCTGGTCGCTCACCTCCGCGCCGAACAGGTTGCCGTCGGGGCCCAGGACCACGGCAGACATGAGGTCACCCCCCGACAGCCGGGGCTCCCCGTCGTGGTCGTAGCCGATGACGGTGAAGGAGGCCACCTTCCCCTGCAGGGCCCGCTTGAGGCCGTCGCCCGTAGCCTTGGTGAGCGGCGCGAAGGCCCCGCTGCTGACAAAGCCGAAGGACTTGATGGCGAGATACAGGGCCTGGTCGGGGGGTGTGAACATGACCCGGTCGTCCTCCTGGGGCTGCAGGAGGCTGCGCACGGTCTTGAGCTCCTGTACCTGGGCCAGCATGCGGTCACGGGCCAGCAGGATGTCCAGCGCCCGGCCCTCCTCCAGGACCTGCTGGACGGCGCTGATGGTGCTCTCCAGCTTGTTCAGGTTCTGCCGCAGCTTCTCCACCTGCAGGTACAGTGACTTGGCCTTCACCTGGCGGATCTTTTCTACCTGGAGAGAAAGGTGAGAGCCAGAAGAGAGGACACAGAGGCTTAGAAGACAGACAGAAAGCAATGCATCGGCTGACAGACTCACACACTGAGGGAAACCTCAGACTGAGGGGTTGCAGAAATGACTGGTCTCCACGCCCCCAGCCTAGCAAAATGCAAAGACAGAGGAAGGCGGGGGAACTTTCCCTGGTCACAGGCGATGACTACAGAGACCTGTGACCTGTAGTCATGGCTAAATGCAATGACTAACCCTGGACTGAGGAAATGCTGCTATTGAACACATTACAGGTGGGACGTTCCCTGGTGGTCCAGTGGTTCCACTGCAGAGAGTGCAGGCTCCATCCCTGGTCAGGGAACCAAGATCCCACATGCCTGGTGGCGTGGCCAAAAAAACACCCAGTAACAAAAAAAACTACGATTGGTGAAATTTGACTACGGACTAGATTAGAAACTAGTGTCGTATCAAGCCTCAGCTTCCTGGTTTTGATTAAGAGAATGTCCTTGATCAGAGGAAACGAACATTTAGTTGTAAAGGTGCTGAGTTGCCAACATTCCAACTTACGCTCAAACTGCATGCATGTGCATGCGGCTCATGCACGCGCGCGCGTGTGTACACACACACACACACACACACACATTGATGAAAATGGAACATGATGTAAATAACTGGTGAATATGGATTAAGGATACATGGAGTTCTTTCATTATCCCTGCAACTTTTCTCTAGTGCGCACGCGCGCGCACACACACACACACACACACACACACACACCCATTGATGAAAATGAAACATGATGTAAATAACTGGTGAATATGGATTAAGGATACATGGAGTTCTTTCATTATCCCTGCAACTTTTCTCTAAGCTAGAAATTAGGGACTTCCCCCTGGTGGTCCAGCGGCTAAGACTCCATGCTCCCAATGCAGGAGGCCCAGGTTCCTAGTCAGGGAACTGGATTACACATGCTGCATCCAAGAGTTCATGGGCCACAGCTCAAGATCCCATGTGCTCTAATGAAGGCCAGTGCAGCCAAATAAAATACTTTTTAAAAATTTGAAGTGAAAGTTGCTCAGTCGTGTCTGACTCTTTGCAACCCTGTGGACTATACACAGTCCATGGGATCCTCCAGGCCAGAATACTGGAGCAGGTAGCCTTTCCTTTCTCCAGGGGATCTTCCCAACCCAGGGATCGAAGCCAGGTCTCTCGCACTGCAGGCAGATTCTTTATCAACCGAGCTATCAGGGAAGCCTTTTAAAAATTAAATAAAAGTGAAAAACAGCCATGTGACAGATGCAGACATTTTTCCTGAGCACCTCCTTTGCATCAGGGGCTGGAGATACACGTGGCCAACAGAAAATGCGCGCCTCAGCCCACTGTGCTTATAATCTCAGAGACAGATACTAAGCGAGCAACGAAGGACAGTAAGAGAAATTCAGAGTGCTAGGGGTTAGAGGGCAGACACAGTGCGATGGAGACTCCCGAGGGAGGTCTGACTCTCTGACAGAGGGTTTTCAGGGACCCTAGCCTGAAAGGTGGAGAGTAAAGTGGCAGACATGGGACCAGAGGCAGGACTGCCCAACGGACTGGAGTGCAAAGCTGAATCCCAACAGACTGAATCTTCTGCACAAGGGCCTGAAGTCTCTTGAAGGTTATTTCTCTGTCTCTTTCTCAACATAAACACACATACACAAACAATCAGAGGGAGAACACTTGTGTGTGGAGGGAGTAAAAGGAAGGATTTGGTGAGCATCTAATTCCAGATCACAAACTAATCCCCGCTCTGTCCCCTATCTTCACTGTTTTCTCTGTTCACAGGTTTTAGAGATTTTCAACAGGGAGCCTAAGAGGCCCCACACACCAGATCTGGAGACACCATCTTTTCTGGCAACCGCTGGCCTGGATTATTTCCAAAGGGGCCTCTAAACCTAAAATGCTGTAGTATGTAAAAACACGGCTTCTGTCCTGTTTCCGAGGGTCCCAAACCACGCTATTAGGGAACGTGCGGTTTTTGTTTGACTGACGAAACAGCCATTTCTCCATTCTTTCGCATGAAATAACCTGAGACTCCTCTAAATTTAAGTGTTTTACTCCGTGAAGAAAACAAACCAGCCGCCCGATTAGTCTGCATTGTTCTGCAGAGAGGACCATGACTTCTGAGTGCCTAACTGATCTGAAAGACACAAAGTGTCTATTTTAGAAGGATTCACTGGTAGAAGGGCTGGATTTAATCCGATTTCCCTTTGTGGGGTGGATAACATGATTCTGAACCCGATTCCTGCACATTCATCTGTCCACTCTGAAAGGACCTGTGTGCAGAGAGGCCCGGATGCGGACCAAAGAGAAGCCATATCCTCTTGTTGTCGCCCTGGACCTTATCTATGGGTCTTGGTTCTCATCCCTCAACTGTGTGGAAACGTGTAAGTCACAAGAAAGAGGAGATGCATCCAGACACGTAAAACTGGGTCACCCAACACTCAAGTATTTTCAATAACCAAGATGCACAAAAACAAAACGTTATACACAAAGGTGCCCAGCCGGGGACAGGCAAGAGGGAGCAGAAAAGTTAGTAATCAGTGGAGAAGGCAGACTCCGCCAGAATCTGGGGCAAGGTACTCCAGCAGAAAGCAGAGATGAATGGGACTGCTGTGTGTCCAATACGAGCAAGCTGATTTTGGGTCATCCAAAAGTGAGTTTTTAGGCAAGTAAACAAGAATCTGCTTACATGAAGAAGAGAGACTCTGCTTCCCAATCTGCTTCTCCTCCAGTAAAGCGCGGGCTCTCTAGTCCTCCCTCAACGAGCACTGCCCTTTGAGGAAGGAGGATGCGAGTTGGGCCCACCAGAGGGAGGGGAACTAAGGTGAGGTCTGCAGAAACCCCCGCACACAAAGGCCTTTTCATCCACAAATCCAGAAGAGCAAGTTTGTGGCAGAGTTCACCACAGAGCTCTCAGGTTGCAAGAAGGGGGCCCCTCTCAGTTATAATTAACATTCGTGGGTGGCATGGGACCGGCAGACTGGGGGGGAACATCAGAGTGTCTGAAAACTGGCAGGCCCACGGAGGAGCCCGAATAAACCGTGTGAATGAACTCTTGGACTGTTTATACCCAACGACTCTCCTGCCAAAAGGGAGCGGTGCCATATTCCTTGAGAGGCCAGAGAAGGCAGAAAACGGACAGGAAGGGGCAATGCAGAAGCCAATGCAGCCTTCCAAAAGGCCAGCACAATTCACTGTTTTAGGGCAGAGGAAATTGACGAGGATCATTTTCAGAAATCAAGATGCTGTCAGACTGCCCTAGTGGCCCAGCGGATAGGCATCTGCCTGCCAATGCAGGGGACACGGGTTCAATCCCTGATCCAGGACGATCTCACATGCCTTGGGGCAACTAAGCCCATGCACCACCAGTACTCAGCCCAGGTCTAGAGCCCACGAGCTGCCAACTACTGAATTCAGCCCGTGTGCCTAGAGACTGTGCTCCATAACAAGAGAAACCCCCAAACCCCAGAGAAGAGTAGCGAACCCCTTCACACAACTAAAGGAAGCCCCTGAGCAGCAATGAAGATCAAGCGCAACCAGAAACAAATAAATAATTTTAAAAAGAAAGAAATCAAGATGCAATGAGTCAAACAAGCACCACACACCCAAATACACCCACTTACATAAGCTCTGTACAGTCTTTGCTGGCATCTTTTTTTTTCAATTATTTTCTGGCCGTGCCAAATGACACGTGGGATCTTAGTTCCCCAAACAGGAAGGGGACCTGTGCCCCGTGCACTGGAAGTATAGTCTTAACCAGTGGACCACCAGCCAAGTCCCTGCATAGTTGTCATGTGTTCTGAGAAGGTGGACTGATTCCTCTTGAACTGGCGAGAGGCACTGGACCCTTTCAGGCCTGTTGCCCTTTTCTTCCTGGGCAAGGGTGGAAGATCTGACAAGAAAATGCTGCTGGGGACGTGGGCGGGGCGAGTCATCTCTCCAGCTGATGTTATCTAAACAGCACACCAGCGGACTCTGCGCTCTTTCCTGCTCCAACAGGAAGAAAGGGCACAGGCGTTCACTGCCCCCAACAAGGGAAAACTGGCTTTCACAAGGGGTCAGGAAGTCCAACCAGCCGGAGCACCAAAACTAAGGATGCGTCCTAGCAGCCTGCTTTCCTGATGGCAGCCTCCACTGTACTCCCTTCTTTCTGCCTAGAATTTTCTGTCGTGTCTGCAATAGAAAACCCGAGCCTCCTGGGACTCCCCTGGTGGTCCAGTGGTTAGGTCTCACACTCCCAGGGCTACCCCTGTAGGGGCGCGGGTTCCAGCCCTGGTTGGGGAATTAAGAGCCCACATGCAAAAAAAAAAAAAAAAACCAGTCAAGAAAACCCAAGATACCATCCAATCTCAGGGACCTGACTACTTCTGAAAGGAGTCCCTCTGCTTGGAGGGCACCTGCAATGTCTAGATATGCCTGCATCTTTCTGCAAGAAGGAAATGGCAACCCACTCCAGTGTTCTTGCCTGGAGAATCCCAGGGACAGAGGAGTCTGGTGGGCTGCCATCTATGGGGTCGCACAGAGTCGGACATGACTGAAGCGACTTAGCAGCAGCAGCAGCATCTTCCTGTAGACTATTCGACACTTAGAGCCAGGGTCCAGGGGACGATATCAGAACACTGACTGTCCTGCTGTGGCTCACAGAGGTCACGCGGCCGCCGAGCCGGCCCAGGGAGGGGTGGGGAGGCCCCAGTTACCTTCCAGAGCAGCTCACACTCCCGCTCCTCCAGGGCCTTCTTGTGTCTCGCAGTCACAGCTTTGACTTCCGACTGCACCACCTTTGCCTTCATCTCCACCTGCTCTGCCACCGTCTGGGCCTGCTCGATGCTCAGCTGCAAAACCAAAAGCAATCTCAGACCACGAGAAAGACCTTCACTCCCCACACACAACACTTAAGGCTCCTTTTCTTCAGCCCTGAGAAACGAATGCCGTGGGCCCCCACCCAGGCCGCGTGGTCCCTGTCCTGGCAAAGGAGAGTGGGCGTTGGGAGAAAGAAGGGATTCTGTCTGATGGGCAACTGGAGGAGCTGCTGGCCAAGGGCTGCGTTTCTTTGTACGAGAAATGGCACCTCCATGGTGAATGTCAGGATTGCTAAAGAGATACTCCAACACAGTGAAACCACTGAAGCTGGGACCCAGCCCAAAACTGGGGACTGAGGGTCAGATGTGAAATCTATGACTCTGGGCATGCAGGCAACTTCCCGCAGGCTTTCCAGCACAGGTTCCTACCTGGGGGAAACCCCGAAGGCCAAGCACATCCCTGGAGGGAGGCGTGCCACAGGCTGCAGCTCAGAAGCAACGCCAAGTGCAAACTGGGAACCGTGTCGCACCCACCTGAGAAGCCACACCTGTGGCCAGACACAGCTTGCCAGAGCCCATCCCTGCCCCCTCCACACCCCTACCCTGTACCACCAGCCCCCAGTAAATCAGCCCGTTTAATCAGACGTAGTATTGCTCATAAAAAATTAATGCAGACAGAAGGCCTAGTGTTTTCATGAATATTACATGATGTGTCTTGAGAAGCCACAAGGATTGGAGATACTGAGGTATTAAATCAGGGATTCCAAACCGACTGCTGATACTCCAACTGGCTTTAGAGCAGGTGGCCCAGATCAGGAAGAACCCAGGGAGGCCTCAAGGGTCTGGATCCTGCCTGGGCTCAGTGATCAGCTGCAAATGAGCTGTCAACCGTGTGCCTGGCACAGGAGGCTTTCTGGGACGTGGAATACATCCACGGCTGGCGCCCGCCCTGGGTAAACCAGGCTGGATGGCCAGCCTGGGGCTCAGAGACCCAGGTTCCTTCAGATCCCAACTCCACCTCCTACTAGTTTCTAAGGTCTCAGATGTGTTCCTGGCCTTCTCCAACTGGGGCAAACATGAGAAAAATGCAGAACAATACATGGGAAAAGCTGGGTCCAGAACCTGGCCTGGAGTCATATACGGCTATTATTAACAGCGCCTAGCTGATAAACCCCTGTGACAAAGGCGCAACCATCCTTTCCCTTCACCCCACTTAGCCACGTCATACAAGTAAGTAGGCCTATCCATACCTCCTCCCTTGAGATGTGATCCCACAAGTGACCCTCAGCACATGCGACGTGGTGCAGTCACCACCACTATCTGGCTCCAGAACAGCATCTTCACCCAAAAGGAAGCATCCATGCTCATGAAGCAGTCGTTTGCCATCTCCCCTCCTTCTCCCCCATGGCATCCAACACCTACCATCTCTATAGATCTGTTCATTCTGGGTATTTCTCACAAATGGAATCAAACAATACATGACCAGCCTTATTTTCAGGACCATGTTCTCAGCTAATCAATTGTGACAAGGGCTTCCCTGGTGGCTTAGCAGTAAAGAATCTGCAGGGGACATGGGCTCAATCCCTGGGTCAAGAAGATCCCCAGAAGAAGGGGATGGAAACCCACTCCAGCATTCTTGCCAGGGAATTCCCTAGTGGAGTACAGTCCATGGGGTCGAAAAACAATCAGACAACTTAAAAGACCAAACACGACAGCCAGCTACAATTCATTCAGTCACTTATAATTGGGACCCCTAACTAACCACGTTTCATGCTCTCAGTTGGAAGACACATTAATGGCTAGGGAACCCCAAGCAGCTGCCCCCAAACCAGACAATGGACATCCCCAGGAGGCCTAAGGACCCACTGAGTGGATCAGAGCTGGTACCTAGCTGATCTGGACACCTCATAGGCTATCCATGGTCTGGGATGGCTCTCACCTCCAAAGTCACCCCAAGATTCCAAAACTAAGCTCAGATGTCACGTCCTTCACTAAAATTGGGAGTAAAGAACACCCACCCATGACTGCAGTGGGTTAAACACCGTCCTACCAAAATTCAGATGTGCCTGAAACTGCAGGAAATGACTTAACTTGGAAATAAGGTCTTTGCAAATGTTACTGTTTAAGATGAGGTCTCAGCAGACTAGCACTGAGTCCTAAATCCACGACTCTTACCATACAGGGCTGGGGGAAAGTGAAAAGTCAGAGTCAGTTGCTCAGTCGTGCCCGACTCTTTGTAACCCCACAGACTGTAGCCCGCCAGGCTCCTGTCAATGGAATTCTCCAGGCAAGAATACTGGAGTGGGTTGCCATTGCCTTCTCCAGGGAATCTTTCCAACCCAGGGATCAAACTCGGGTCTCCACCATTGCGGGCAGATTCTTCACTGTCCAAGCCACCATGGAGGCCCAGAGGGCCATGTGCAGACAGAGGCAGAAATCGAAACTGATGCAAGTACAAGTTAAGGCAGGAAGAAGCAAGACAAGGTTTTTCCCTAGTCTTCACAAGGAGCACAGCCTTAGCGATAGCTTGGTTTCTGACTTATAGCCTCCAGAACCATGAAAAAATAAACTCCTATGGCTGTAAGTCACCCAGTTCATACCAGCCCCAGGAAACTAATACAGTAGCCGACAAGTTGAAACAGGTGGATGTATCCAAATTACCCCAAAGAGAAAAAGTTAAGACTGATCAATCAAGTAAGTGTGTACATGAGCAGAGATATAACATCTCAGGTTTGTCAGTCAGGACTGATTCAGAAAAAGAGAAACCTCACTAGACATTTAAACAGAGATGATTTAATGCAGGGAATTCGGCTGTACTGGAAGTGGAGACCTGCTAGCGCAAAGGGCGCCCTAAGGATCGAGAGAGTAACTTTGGTCAGCAGCTACCACCCTTGGGGTCAGAGAACAAAGCAAGTGGGGGTTCCTGGGACCCAGAAGTGTGGGGAGGGACACTCCGGGGCCCAGCTCACTCTGGGAGTGGCATCAGCTGTGAACTGGAACCAACTTCTGCTACCAGGAGGGGAAAAGAGCTGCGGCTGAGAACAAGAAGTCAAAAGGAAGAAACGAGGTCCTTTCCCCCACTTTTTGAAGCACTGCAGCCCCTGCCTCAGACCATGCAAGGTGGGCTGGCACATCAGTAATGGGTATGCCCTGTTTCCAGAGGTGCTCGGTATTAATTAGCACAGAGCTGATGTCCTCGTCTATATGACTGGGCCAACCATGCCTGTGTCTGCTCTCAGAGTCTTCTCCCCCCGGGTTTGGCCCTCCCACCGATGACAGGAACTATTTCTTCTATTTTCCAAACAGGTAAAATTGAAGTGAAAGTTGCTCAGTCGTGTCCAACTCTTTGCGACTATACAGTCCACGGAATCCTCCAGGCCAGAATACTGGAGTGGGTAGCCTTTCCCTTCGCCAGGGGATCCTTCCAACCCAGGGACTGAACTTAGGTCTCCCGTACTGCAGGTGGATTCTTCACCAGCTCAGCCACCAGGGAAGCCCAGAACAGGAAGAAGGGGAGCAAAGCTCTGGTTGTAATAAGTCGTCCCCATCCCCAAAGTCATAAAAGCTCGGCGTGAAGAGACCAAATGGATCTTTCTTCTCCAAACCCTACACAACTCCCAGGCAAGCACTGCACTCCACGGTGTGCAGACCGGGACCTGCTTAACTAGTTCCCGCTATCTGCGGAGCACTTGAAGGGTGCAAGAGGCAGATGGGTTGGGGGAAATGGCAGTGGATGAATTAAAGGGTTGGGGAAGCTCGGAAAACAGAAACACACACTTGATATAAGAAAAAGAAGTGTGCACTGTGGCTGATTCATGTCAACGTATGACAAAAACCACAATACTGTAAAGTCATCCTCCAACTAAAATAAATAAATTAATTTTTTTTTAAAAAAGAAGAAGAATAGGGACTTCCCTGGTGATCCAACAGCTCGGGCTTTGTGCTCCTGATGCAGGGGGCCTGGTTCGACCCCTGGTCGGGGAACCAGATTCCACATGTCAAAACTAAAGATCCCGCGTGCCGCAACTAAGACCTGGCACAACCAAAATAAACATCTAAAAAATAAATAAATAAGAAAGCAGGAAAGAAAAGGGGGGCGGGGGAGGGCGAAAGAAGGAAGAACACTGAACAAGCATGGCACTTGAGGAAGAAAAGCTTGTCTTCAAATGTTAACAGATTCAATCAAACACTTGAAGTGGAGGATCTCAATCTGGGCAGGGAAGTCAGTGATGCCAGCTGACTGTTGAGTGGCGGCCACTTAGTACTGAGGAGAGTCTGAGGCCAAATCTGGGTTTCGCTGAGAAGAGTGCCAAAAGCGATTAGTGATGTCTGCACGGAGAACAGTGGTGGCCTGATGACAGGTATCTAAAGTGGCCTGATAAGAGAGAAGCAAGTGTCACCGATAAACTCAAAGCCCACCACATCATATGTGAGAATTACCGCTGTATCTTTATCACATTGAGTATCTTTGAAACTATGGTTCACCTTAATGTTGTCAGTGGGCTTCAACTATATTCCTGATCCAAACTGTGGTTGGCCCCAGGGAAAACCTTTATGAAATTCTCACATTACATTTGTTGTTGTTCAGTCGCCAAGTTGTGTCCGACTCTTTGCAACCCCACGGACTGCAGCCTGCCAGGCTTCCCTGTCCTTCACCGTCTCCCGGAGTTTGCTCAGACTCATGCCCATCAAGTGGGTGAGGCCATCCAACCATCTCACCCTCAGTCGTCCCCTTCTCCTCCTGCCCTCAATCTTTCCCAGCATGCTGTACTTTCATGAGTCAAAGTGCCTTGGGTACCAGATTACCTGACTCATCAGGAAGAGTACTTCGGTATCACGCACAGGAATGTGACAGTTGCTGAGAAACTTACTAAAATCCTAAACCATCCTTCCCTAGAGCATGATCGATTCTTTACTATCTCCCCCCAAAACCGTATTTTAAAAAATAATTCACATTCTAAACAGTTTCCTATTCGATTTCTGCTCGAGGATTAGCAATGTCTGACTTTCAAGCTTGTCCTACCAGACAAGGAAAACAACCCAATTTTTTATTTTCCTAAAACCCTGTCAAGCTGGCTCAGGTGGCACTGTTATTACCTATGTAAGCGAACTTCCCTGTGCCCCCAAGTTACATGTATCCCTTCCCTACATGACCTTATTTAGCTCCCAGGGAAGTCTGAGACTCTGAACCTTATATAAAATTTCCCATGCTCATTGATTTCTCACCGATAAACCAATCTGGGTAGCAAGATGAGGACACAATCTTCCTACAGTTCTGATGGAAGCAGGCTGATATCCATTGGATTGGGGTGGGGAGTGGGGGAAAGGCAGGAGAGAGGAACTTGGATGGGAAACTTGCCCTGGGCAGCTAGTAACTCAAGTCACGTCGCTGTCATCTTCACGAGACTGTGCGGTCTCCATGCCCTGCCCCTCCGCCCTCATGTGACTGCCGCTGCCTGCCGCGTGGGCGCATCTGGGCCACTGTCCCACGGCCCGAACACCTGCACACAGCCGACAGGGGGGTGGGAAAGGTTTTCTGTGCCCGCAAGAACCGGGCAGACGGGTGAAGGGGGGTGAGGGACTGACCTGGATGGCCTGGCGGCCTTGCTGGGCGTCGGCCAGCAGCTGGATGGTGAGGGCCCGCGAGTCCTGCAGCGCCTCCTGGAGGTAGACGAAACTGTGGCCGCCGTGCCGGCCCACCGTGCACTCGCGGCAGATGGGCACGGAGCACGTGTCACAATACAGGTGCAGCACCTGGGGACCAGAGAGGCGCAGGTTAACGGGCGCGATGCTCTGCCGTGCAGACCCCCACGACCAACACGCACCTCCCGCGGGGGCGGCGGGGGCAGCGCCGCAGTCCCCCCTGAGGACCACACGCCCCCCTCCACCCGACACAGAGGAAAACCAACCAGCTCCCCTGTGCTACTCCAGTTTCATTCACAGCCGCTTGGAAGGCCAAGAAACAAAGAAACAAAATGAGCCTCCTGCCATCAGAGACTTCCCTAATCCTAATCTAACCAGAGAAAGTTCCAAGAGCACGTCTCTGCGGTCTGAGATGAACGAATACACCAAGTTTCTCTTGCCATCCCAGGCTCTGGGCTGGGAAGCCAGGCGGGGGGCCAGGATCAAACACCCACCCACTACAGCCCGCTGCCACCGTCTCCATCTAGAAGCACTTAAGCAAACGTGAGCGCTTCCGTTTCTGGAACGAAGGCCAGCGGCTCATGGTAGAGTCAGCCGGCTTCTTGTCTTTCTCTTTCCTGCCAAGCTGTTCCCAGGAGCTGACCCTGGGAGGCAGCCGGTGCTTGACAGAGCTGCTTTTATGCAATGCTCTGTGCTGCCCTGGGGCCCCCCAGAGCTGGGAGGGGCAGAAGGCTTGGCATCACCTCCACCTGCTGATAAACGCCCAACAGCAAAAGCTCCTTGGCACGGGGCCAGTCCCATCGCATCCCTCCCCAGAGCTGGCCCTGTCTGTAAATGTTTGCTGGCTTGCTTACAAGAGCAGGGCTTCAGTTTGCTCTGTTACACCAGAGGGTAATGGCAAGCCAGCCAACAGGCAGGGAAGCAGTTTGTGTGTTGGGGGTGGGGGTGGGGGTGCTTTCACATCCGCAGCACTCAATGCCCAGGTGAAAAAGAGGCCACACAGGTAGCAAGGGCTGCTCCCAACACACAGGGGTCTGGCTACCCCGTCCAGGGCACAAACCACCTGCCAAGGTGTCCCCGAGGCGGTAAGACTCAAGACCGGGAGGTTCTGGAAGCAGTGTCGTGAGATGGAAGAAGTAACTATTACACTGCACATCTCACACTGCAAGGGCCCGGGTCAGCTCGCATTATTTATTGTGGGTGGAGCATGTCCATTAGGAAATGATGCCCCCCAGGCGGCTGTCAGGCAAACATGCCACTCCACTCAGAGGAGCACGACCCAGTAGAGGTTAGGGTGCTTCTTCTCTGGGATCCAAGAACTGGAAAAAGGAAAGATGACTAAGGAGATCAAATTCCTGCTTGAAAGAAATGGTTGTGATCCGGCAAGTTTTCTAGACCCCCTTTTCTCAGGCAGGAAACGTGATCGGGTTTGTAACTTGTCGGAGTGCGGTACTTCTCCAGAAGTTGAATCCAAGAGGCACTTGCCGCCGTGAAGGCTTTCTGAAATAGGCCTGCCATTTACAGATGTAATCTTTCTCATGTGATAAACCTAAAATTCTCAAGCCTGCCTGATATCTGAACCAAAAAACGCTAAATAAATACATGCAGGGAAATTCCCTGGACTCTCTGTTTTTATGAAGTTCTGCTAAAGAGATTCTCAGGCCTGAACAACATCCCTCCCCTCTGCTCCTTCCATTTGTCACGGGAATAAAGGGATCACTCCTGCTAATGTGAAGTGTGAAAACCTTCCAGCAGAAGGCTCCCTCCTCTTACCCAACAGCTAAGCAATCTTCTCTTCACCTCTGCTCAGGATCTACCCTCTTTTTTGGCAGGGGGTGGGGGGCAGGGGAGCATGGATGGCCACAGGAGCTGGTGTCTGCCTGTCTTCTTAGATCTGTGGGCTCCCGCCAAGTGGGGAAGAACTTTAGGCTGTCAGCCTGAGCCTGGCGCTACCACCCGCCCGCCAGGAGACCTGCTATCCTGTCACCTGTCTCGGCTTCAGTTCCTTGTATGGAGCACATGGTGTCTGACCAGGGACCTCAGGAAACCCCTTCCACTCCAGAACTCCCAGGAACCCTATCTCTGGGGACTCAATGCCACAAACCAGAGAATTCTGGGCTGAGCTGGAAGGCAGCCTCCAGGTGCAGTTGTTCAACTGCAAGGTATTAAGCTGATTTTTCTGGGCTTTTAAGTTTGCAATCTCTAGAGTATACAGGAATGATATTGTCCGGGGGAAGAGATCCCACAAATGGTGGGTTTCAAAGGATCTTGCAGGGACTTCTCTGGTGGTCTCTCGGTTAAGACTCTGGGCTTGAGTTCAATCCCTGGTTGGGGAACTAAGAGCCCATGTGCTACAAAGTGCAGCCAGAAATAAACAGATAAACAGGATCTACAAGTGATGAGGCCAGAAAAGAGATCCTAGCAGAGATGGGAGGCCCAAAGCAGGAGGGGGGAAGCACTTCGACAATGGGCAGGTAGGGGTCCTGGGGCGTGACCCCATCTGACGGTGTTTCACATGGGATCAGTGTAGCGCTAACAGGCTACACTTTCTAAGTGCCAGCGATTCTGCAGTTCCAGGTTGGCTGTGGGTGACATTAACAATGGGTAGGACTTCCCTTGTGGTCCAGTGGCTAAGACTCCTGCTTCCAAAGCAGGGATGCAGGCGGGGGGTCGTGGGTTTGATACCCAGAGAGGGAACTAGAGTCCCATATGCTGTGTGGCATGGGAAAAAAAAAATTTTTTTTTAAAGGAAGGTAAAAGCAGAGCCCCAGCAATGCGTTTATTCAACTGCTGATTTTTTAACTTGTTAGTTGAAAGATAACTGCTTTACAATATTGTGCTGGTTTCTGCCATACAACATGAGTCTGCTATAGGTACACATACGTCCCCCCTTCCTTCTTGAACCTCCCCGCCCACCTCCCACCCCATCCCACTCTAGGTTGTCACAGAGCCGCAGCCGACTATTGATTTTTTTTTTTTGAGAACACACTATCTAAAACCAAAAAACGTGATGATCACATACTGTAAACTTTCTAGTAGTGTAAAACTTTGGAGGGACGTCACTCCATTCTGAAGCTCCACACCTCACTCGCCGAACAGGTTCTAAGGTCAAAACCCAACAATTTTGGACCCTGTGAGACTCACTGAACAGGCAGGGTGCACGTGGGTGTGCATGGGTGCAACTCTCTCTGAACCAGCTTATTTAAGGTTATTTTGAAAGAATAAACTGGAGGGCTGTTCAGAGGGGCCACAGGCAGAAAGAAATGTGGCAGAGGCCATGAACTGTGGCTCTGGGAGGAGGGAGGGAGCAGGCCTCCGGCGGCAGGAATTCCAGGGCCTGAGCTGCCCCTCCGGGCCTTCCCGGGCAGATGCTCGGACACGCCCCCTCCCCCCCACATGGCGACAATCTGGCTGCCCCAGCTGAATGGAGCAGGCCTGACCTCTGACCCTGCAAGTGACCACCCTCTTCCCTGCCCCCAGCTTCCAGAACGCCCCACCCACTGCCTTCCTCTCCCAAAATTTCTAAAATACCAGGCGGAGACAAAGGCCTAGGAATGTAAGCCCAGCAGGAGAGGAAGGGGGTGGGGGTAGGGGGAAGTTTGAGAAAAAATAAATAAAAATACCAAGCAGGCAGGTTTACCTTAGGCAGGGCTTAAATTAAGTGCTCTGTTAATGCACAAGTCGGTGTGCACATGGCATCTACCGTTTTATACAACGTGTGATCCAACAAGGAACACACACACACACACACACACACACTCTGTGGAACAGCAGGTTAAAACACAGCTACCCACATCAGTGATAAGTACACATGGAAAGGATGAAGGGGGCCTCTCATTGTCCAGATGCCCCGACTGAAATAACAACAACTTATTTTTGGAGAATTTTTTTTGGCAGCCCTTAGAATGAACTGAGGGACATGCGGCCTCCCACAAACCCAGGCGTAGACAGGAGGAGGTCTCCACCCGCCCCTCCAGATGCTGGGAGGCTACAGGAGGAGGCAGACTGGTGACAACCAGAAGCCTTATCTGTTCATGACACTCAGCAGCCTCTCCTATTAAAAAATGGTAAACCACGTTCAAGGAGTCAAGTCAGGCCACGAAACCAAGTCTCTTCAACAACATGGAGACCAAGCTTTGCTTGACTGAGGGAAAAACAGACTGGAAAGCAGGACTCTCCAATCCGCACCAGCTCTCCCGCATCTCCAACCACGTGCGGCCGGCCGGCCGCAGAGCTGCGGCCTCGGGGAGCCTGGGAAGAAAGGCATCTTGGACCCTCCTTCTGACACCATCACCAATGGCTCAGAGTCCGGCAGGGAGCGAGCTACCCTCTTACTGGGGGAAAGGAGTCGGACACTTTTCAAAATATGTGCATTTTTAATGCAAAAAGATAGACTGTTTTTTTTTTTTAATCTGCCCCAACAAAAAAATAAAAATAAAACCTGCCCCAACATCTGGGTCGTTTCTACATTTTAATGTAATCACCCCAAAACATGCTATATTTTAAGACACAAATAGGAGAGCATGATACCAGACTTTTTCACTTAAGTGTATTAACCCAGAGACTGTTCTGGGCCCAGCTGCCTATTTTACGGCTGTGTCACGTTGTCTGTGGATGTACCGCGACTTATTTAATTAGTACCTGCTGATAGGACTTTAATGCGGTTTCCTGATTTTGGAAAACTCGCGAGCAATAATGCAGCGAACATTCTTCATATTGCTCTTTACAAAGCCCAGAATTTTCCATTTGGTAATAGATTCAATTGCCACTTTGACATATCAGAAGAAGAAAAACAAACAGACAAACAAAAAACCCTACTTGCAAAGTGTGGATAGTAAGCCTTCCTGAATTTAATAACTTGATGTCAGGTCAGCCTCCACTCATGTGAGGAACAAAGGTGGTTCCAGCGTCAGTTTCTGTTCGCAAGAAGACAAAACCTCGTATTTGCAAAACGGAAATACACACACAGAAGTAGGGAATAAATGTTCGGACTCCAAGAGGGGGAGGGGTGGGATGAATTGGGACTGACATATATACACTGTTGATACTGTGTGTAAAATAGACAGCTAATGAGAACCTACTGTACAGAACAGGGATCTCAATGTTGCCAG